GGAAATCAGAGGCTCAGAGGGGCTGAGTCTTGCCCCATATCACACAGGAGTTATGTCAGAATCAGAACAAGGGTCTGTCTTGATGGAATGAAGCCCATTTTCCTAGATGGCTGGGAGATACCCCAGCTGATGGAAGGAGGAGCCCTCTTAATGAGTATGGACCAGTCAGGACATGACTGAGCTTCCCAGCAGATGGAGTTCCATAGGTAAAATGGCATGCTTTATCATGACATTCAGGAGTCTGAGAATCCTGAATGTGGGGTTGTGTGGCCTGCAAGGGACCTTCACAATATATGGATTTTCTGGCTAGGGGACTCCCATTGAGTTTGCGGACCTGGTGACAACCTTGGGAAGTAAGTACCATGAAAGGCAATGTGTTGGGTAACATTACCAATTACCGTATCAAACTCCAAAATATTACTGACTTAACATAAAAATATAAGTTTCTAATGTAGTCACACAGCAGTCTAAAGAGAGAGTGCTTCTTGTCATTATTTGGTTTTCCTTCATGTGGCAAGTCAAGGACCCAGGTTTCTTCCATGTTTGGGTTCATCAACCTCTAAGACTTCAGTGTCCTCTGCTCTCAGTGGACCCTGGAAGGGAAAGATGGTGGAAGGGAAAGATGCAGTGGAGAACTCACACAAGCTGCTCAAGATTCTGGACTCCTAAACTGGCACTCATCACTTCTCACTTCCCTTGATAGAAGCTAGTCTTCCAGCATACCTGCATGCAAGGGCGTCTGGAAAATGTAGTCTTTGGCTAAGCAGCCATTTTCTAGGATCAAAGCCACAATGATAAACGAAAGCATGTATTTTTGCTGGACAAATGGGCTCCTGGGTCAGACTTAAACTTTCCAAACTTCCATAGAGAAACAGGACAGGTTTGGTGGCTTATGCTTGTAATCCCAGCACTTTGGGAGGCCAAGGTAGGAGGATTGCTGGAGCCCAAAATAGTGAGATTTCATCACTACAAAAATGAGTCAGACAGTGGGGCAGGCCTGTAGTCCTAGCCACTCAGGCAAGTGGAAGGATTGCCTGAGTCCGGGAAATCAAGGCTGCAATGAGCCATGATCCTGCCACTCCACTCCAGCCTGGGAGACAGAGTTAGATATGGGATTGAGTAGAGTAGAGTAGAGTAGAGTAGAATAGGGTGGAGTAGAGTAGAGTAGAATAGAATACAATAGAATAGAATAGGAGCAGAGTTGAGTAGAGTAGAGTGAAAAGTAGAATATAATAGAATAATAAGGGTAACAGCATTACCTTAGAAGATTCTTGGTAATCTTACTTCAATGGGATAAAAGAGAAAACCCTTAGAAAATACTAGGCAACTTGGTGAGACCTCATCTCTACAATAAATAAAAAATTAGCCGGGCATGGTAGCGTGCACCTGTAGTTCCGGCTACTTGGAAGGCTGAGGCGGAAGGATCGCCAGAACCCAGCAGGTCAATGCTGGGGTAGCCATGAGCATGCTACTGCACTCCAGCCTTGGTGATGGAGACTCCAACTCAGAAAAAAAAAGAAGAAAGAAAAAAAATACTAGGCATGGAATAAATGCTTGTAAAATATTATCTCCCTAAACCATTTGAATTTCGTAGTAGAAATGAGATTTGTCTGAGGTGATGGTCAGAGGACAGCTGGATCTTCTCATTCCTTCACTTCCCTCCTCTGCGTTGTACTTTTATTTCCCCCATTTCTGCCCCTTTCTGTTTTCTCTTTCTTCCTCTCTTCCACCATGCAGGCTATCTACGAGTCAGGACTCTCCCTGTTGCCTCCTGGAGCACATTCTTTCCCATTCCAACCACCCAGGCTATAAAGTAGATTAACTGCCAGTCAGGACCAACACTCCATTAGCAAGAGGAACTGACATGTCACCAGGCAGCACTGATTTCAAGTGGGTGCAGTGAAAAATTCATGGATGCTTTGACTCACTTCTAAAAGGAATTTTAGAGCGGCCAGCAAAGTTTTAAAACAAAGGTTATTAGAGAAAGAAGGGAGAAAAGAAAGGGAGACATGCTAGAGCTGACTTGGGTGAACGGAACCACACCTTTTGCTCTTTACAATAGACCTGATATACCTGCACGATGATTTATCTGCTAAAGAGGGTGGAGCCCAGGTAACTGTCACTCTGAAGATCTACATTTCTGGCTTCTGATGGGAGGAGAAAAGTAGAGGGGTGGTCTTTTCCTGACCACATTGTCTTTTGCAGGAGACCTGCCAGATATTCCCAATTATCACTTCTATGGCTTTGGTCAGTTAAGGGGTGGTATTCAGGCATCTGACAGGGAACTTGAAAGTTTCTTTGTGATTATTACGCTAAGCCATGAATTGTAAAGTTGGGCTGTTCCAGTCTTGCTTCTGATGGTGTTTTCTTTGAATTTGCCAAAAGAGTGGGGTTGCTTGCAGCTTGGCCGGCAGTAAAATGTAATTTTAAAATGTCTGGATGCTTCCTAAAACTTGCCCATGGGAAATTTATCTATCTGTGTCTAACATGTGCTTGCTCCCCTACCTCAGCACTCCCTACCTTGGCAGCCATAAATGTCAAGGCACAGGATTCTTGACTTGAGAGATCACATGCCCACAAAACTGCCAGGGAAAGGGTTCTCTACTCCAGTACTTTCCAACTTGCCCAGAGGAAGGTAACAGGAACAGGTGTTCAATGAATAAAAGTCAAAAACATTCGACAACACTTGAATTAAACATAAGCTCTTTCTTGCAGCTTTTTGATTTTAGCATAGCCAGTATGCTAGTGAACATCATCCGTCTCTCTGCAGGGCAACGACCCATCATTCCTCATTCCCCAATCTTGTTTGTCCATGAAACACTTCCTGATGAGCATCTCCTGGGTCTATGAATGATGGAATACTCTTCAGAAATTGCAACTTAATAACAAGTATCTAAAAATGGAGTTCATGTTTATTTAGCCACACAGGGGCAGGTTGGATAGGGGGTATTTAACTGTTCATTTATTATGTTTTTAAAACTAATTTCATCTCTTATTAAGTTGCTACTATTGTTAGGCTTTGTGGGTGGCTTTTTGCAGGTTATGTCATGTAATTTAAAATCAAGTCTCATTGGAGGGTTGCTTTTGTCCTCACGTTCCAGCTGAGGACACTAAGTTCAGAGTGATTCAAGACTGCTCAAGGCCACAATGCAAGTGAGTAGTAAGGTTGAAACCTGGTAATGGTTGTGTTTTTCATTTAATATTTATTGAGTTTCTGTGACATGCCAGGCCTTTCTTTTACACTGAGAGATTAATCCTTCTTGTTTGTTTTTATTTATTTGTTTTAGCCTCATTGGCTAGCTTATAAATACGTACAGACCTTTTTGGTTTAGATCAATGGTTTTTTCCCTGGGGTGATTTTGCCTCCCAGAGGACATTCAACAATGTCTGAGTACATTTTTGGTTGTCACAAATGGGAAGGTGCTATTGGCATCTAGTAGAGGCCAGCGATACTGCTAAACGTCCTACAATGGACAAAACAGCCCCCACAACATATAATTATCCTGCCCAGAATGTCGACAGTGATGAGGTTGAGAAAACCTGACTTAGAGGGAAAACACTTTTAAAAAACCGTCACAAATGCAAAAGCCTGCAGGGGCCAGTTAGGAGACATAAATGACTAGCTAATTAGACGTGCCCAGCCCTGTCTAGAAGGAAGCAGCAGTGGCTGGCCTCCAATTGATGGCTACTACACGGGGCCTGTGACATTTGCATCCAGGTAGCCAGTTTTTCCCATTTTTCAAGCCAAAAACCCAAATTTTAAATGAAAATACTCATCTTTTAAATGGCGGCAACTAATTTAATTTTTTAAATGTTATGCTAGTCAAACAAAACACATCCGAAAGTGTGATGCAGACAGCAGGCCCTAAGCTTCCAACCTCCCAGAACACTTCCCAGCGTGGAGCCATGAGTGTTAGGTATGTTAGACAGCACCGACCCCACACTGCCTTGGGTTGGCCTCCAGACTTATTGTAGTGTACCTTCCTCGCCCCCTTTCTTTCCTAGCCTACATGCATTGAGCTCTCACTATGTGGTAGTACCTGCTCAAAGCACTCCATAGTATTAACTTATTTTATCTTCTCAACAACACTAAGAGATTGTCTCTCCCATTTTAAAGACAAAGGACTCAAGAGGCAAAGAGAGGTTATGCAACTTGCCTGAGGTGCAAAAGGTACTGGGATTGGAAGCCTGGCAGTTATTAACTGCTAAGTCAGGCTACCCTGCTGAAGACACCACCTCTTCATACTCTTCACAGTGAAACTTGAGAGGGACTTCTCTCAGTCATGAGTCAACATAGGCAAGTAACAGTCACAACTGTGGGAGCCTGTACCTCCCAAGTGCTCAGAACCTCAGTCCCTCCAAATAAAGACGTGGTTTCAACTGGGGAGTGTTTTCTCCCTGGGCTACATTCAGCAATGTCTGGAAACATTTTTGGTTGTCACAAACAGAAGGGTGTTATTGGTATCTGGTGGGTAGAGGTCAGGGATGCAGCTAAACAACACACAGGACAAGCACCCACAACGAAGAATTATCCAGTTCCAAATGTTAAGAGTGCCAAGGTTGAGAAATCCTCATCTAAACATCTCACTGGCAACCATTTTAAGGTGAAAAAAGCAATGAGCAGAATATGCCAGGTGACTCAGTCTGTTCTTCATCTTGAACATTTTCTTTCTTTCCTCAAATCATTCTTTTCTTCCCTAGCCCTGAAATTTCACAGTCATCCCATCTCACTGTGCTAAGTGTCCACACTGAAGCATCTCCTAGTACAACTCTTACATATTAGCAGCAACAGAGCAGGGAAGAAATGAGTACATGAGCAATAAGCACTAAAGAACAAAAAATAAGCATTAAAGTGCAAAATAGGTCCTTGAGATTCAACCATAGTATCACCTACATACCTATAATGTATGTGCTTTTCCTGGAAGCCCTAAGCCATAATAAGTGCCCACTTCAAATGGCAATGAACACTCTTTCTGCTAAACACACACACATGACTGCACTGGGTTTCATAAAATGATTTTAATAGAAAAGTACAAGATATGAACAAAAATAAATAATCTTTATCTCATTTCTAGCCCAGCAAATTGTACACTGCATATAAAAATGGTCTAAGATGCAATTTTCCTCCATTCTTTTTTTTTCTTTTGAAATACTGAGACAGCATTTTAATTCAATCTTCTAGATTCAAATTGATACTCTTTAAAAAAATCATACCAACTTGTAATCATTCTATATCCATTTTTAAAAGTTGGTTCACAAGATGATGCTTCACTAAAATATCATCCAATCATCAGATTTAACTGTAAAGTTTGTGTGAACAGGTAAATTAACAGATCCCTTTTTAAAGTTTTAATTCCCATGTTCCCTGAATTAAAAATGCATTTCATCCTCTTACTTTCAAAACATGGCATCTCATTTTCACCATTCCATAAAGAGAGAGAAGACTAGAAAATATTTTTAATAAAAAAAATAAATATTTTATAAGTACAGTTTACAGTGATAATGCAGTATTTTCAGACCTGTGCCTTGGTGCGTATTTGCGTTAAATATATGCTTCAAGTTATAAGTAACTTTTCTATCTCTCTATATATGTATATTGTGGACCCCTCAGTCTTTGGGGACTGTTTTTCCAAATGATCTCTGGTAGTTAGCTCGTACCAGTCTCTTATTTGGAGTGCTTATCCTACTTTAGCATCATATTTGATCATTCCGGTGGCTTGAATAGTTTTGTAAAAACAAACTGAAAATTGGGATTGGCAAAATCATCTGAGAAAAGAGTTTGGGTAGGCTACTAAAACATAGAGAATGCCAGTCTCAGGAAGTTAGTAGCTCACAGAACAGATCAACTGGACTCAAACTTAAAACCTACTTTTTACTGGAGCCCATAGTGACTATTATGAACAGGGTTCTGCTTGCTGCTGCCTATATATAAACTTTTTTGTTAATTTTCCTATATTAAGATCTTGAATGCACTCCAGGATGAGAGGGAAAAATACGCTGACGCTGCTAAATCGAGTATATGTTTTTGCAATAAAGAACACTGGTCAATATACAACGGAGGAAAAACTGAAACAGATGTGAGTCCTAGAACCACAAGCATTTGAATTTGCTCAGAAATGCTATTTTAAACATTCTATATGTTAGTCTACTGTTTTTTGTGGAAAAATGCATTCTTGGCATCCTTAAAAGGTTTCACCATGTTACAAGGTTATCCAGAAAGAAAAAAAAAAAAAAAAGCAAAGGGCTAATGTATCTATCTAGGCAGCGCTGTCCAGATTTCAGGGTACATTTCTGTAAAGCACAAGAATTCATATTAATTGCGTTTAACACAATGAACCTTTCGTTTCCAATGAATTTTCATTTTCTGAAGACTGAGGCTTTCTTTTTACAAACACTGCTCTCAAAGGGCATAGATACACCACAAGTGGTCCACAGTAAATTCAAATAGAGAGGTGCAATAGTTGCAGTAAACACAAAGACACTTTTTTTTTTTTTGGACTAAAAATCTGGTCATAGATAAAAGCATGCGCCTTTTCGTGCCTCTCTGGGCTGTTAGAACAGCAACACGCTCTAAAACAATTAAGTTACATGCATAATGCTAAAAGAATGTGAGCAATCCTATAACCAGCTTTAAACCATCTGCTTGATTTCTTTTGAGGAACACATATAGGAAAAGAGAATTCCCCTTTTGTTCTGTTACATATAGAAATCTTTTGAAGCTTCCAAATAGTTTGGTTTTGGTAAAATTCTCCACTCTTCTACTTTGACATGTAGTCATCCTAAACTATCCCTCACAGTTTCTCCAAAAATCTCCACATGAATTATCTGAAGGACAATTGAAACCACTTACCAATATACAAGTAACATTTTATTTTATATTCTATCTTCCATTTGGCATAAGCCTTTCGATGTTTGTTTTTTAAACCAGTGAAATATACAAATCACACAAGACAGAAATATGTACATTAAAAGTACAGAATAAAGGCCATAGGAGATATACATAATATCTGAATGACATGTAGAATATTTTACATTAAATAGTTTCTTTTAAAAGCTAGGATTGTTAAAACTCAACTCTCTTCATAAACATGAATCACTAAAAAGGAACAAAATCTGATTTAGCAAATAAAAAAAGTACTTCATGGTTTTTGTATAATAAAAACCAAAAAAGTGACATTTAAAACTAATTAGTGCTTTTTACTTTCAAGATCTTTTGCTAGCAACTTGCTGCAGCAGAGGGGAAGTGGACATCCTTGTGCAATAAATTAAGAGCCACAGTTGGCTGAGGTGATCTGAAGGCCATGCAGCCTATGATGGGGACAAAAGACGTGTATCTTTCCGAACTTTTAAGACAGTGTAAGTCTGAGATAAGAACACATTTGATGGCACTTTTTGGAAAGAGGTGTCCTTGCTTTTAAACATTTCTGTAACTAGCTATCTATCTATGTAATGGGCTGTATTTTCCATAGGGATTCAAAGTAGTACTACCAAATCTAGCAGGCACCAGTTTCCACTCTGCAGAATGAACTAAGAAAAGAGAAACATTGCTGATGCTTCTGATCTTTGAGTATTTTTTAATGTTCATGTCTATGATGAACAAATAATGCCCTCGCCACAAAGTATACAGAAATGGGGGCTGGAGGAAAGGGGGTGGAGAGGGAAAGAGAAAAGAAATCTCCAAACCAACATGCATTTCAGTGAGTCAGAACTCCAAGCTTCCTCAGAAACAAGGTTGCTTCGTAGTGCTCAAGATTTAATCACTGCAGGGCCACAGCCCAAGCTCAAGACTCAAAAAACTTTTGGAAAAACCCCAGCTGGATTGCAGTGAAGGAGGACAATGCACTAGACTGAGAAATAACCCCAGAATAAACTGAAAATCTAAGTCACTGGCTGCACTGAGATACACTTATATTTATGTATATGTGTATATGCATATATATACACATATATATATACACATATATATATGCTATGTACAAAAGACTTTGAGATATCAGGTACCATTAAACCACACTTCCCCTCTTATAAATGCAACTGTTCAAGTACGCGAGGAACAGTTTTAGGGTACACCTGCAGTATAATAGGAAAAGCTTGAGTGGATAGTCTGAACACAGGATCCTCACAGTGAACCGCTACAACACCTCTGTGAACTCCATCAGAATGTCCTTAAAACATATGAAACTACTGCTCCTCAAAATAAAAGTTTCAGAAAAAAAAATCCCTAAGTAGCAAACTGTTTTCCAAGCAGAGCTCCTAATGTTTCATTTCCTGTCCTGCAACCAAAGGGGACCCAGTGGCACTGCTATTTGAAAACATGGCCAGCATCATATCACATCACAGCACGGAGGAACCAGAAAGGGCTGAAGTCTACCAGGACAGTGGATTTCACTGTTTTCCTCAAATAGGTTTTCTGCTCTGTGCAGTGCTGAACTGCATGCAGTTACCTTGTTGTTTGGGCTTAGAGTCTATGAACGGAATTCATGTATTATTTTCAGTATTATCATTTATTAACCAAGTATCCCTAAGAAAATTACAGGATATTTTCCTTTATATTCAAGCCACTTCCTCCCCATAGCCCCCCTCCCCTCAGAGAAATCTAGTGTCCATAATCATTGGGGAATCTTTTTCCAATCTGAAATCCTAATTCCAACAATCTTCATCTTCATATAGGAGTTTGAAATTTTTTATTTCTAGATAATGTTCCCTGCTTCTTAAGTTTCATGAGTTATGAGAATAGGACCTTCTCCAGATGGTATATTTGAGAAGAATGAGACATGGGGTATACCTTTCTTCTTGAAAATATGAGATTCTTGCCCTTATTTATTTTGAATTACTATTTTGAAAAAGTATAAAGCAGGCTGGCAGCCCCCAGGGAAGGGAGTCTTTTCTGGGGGGTTCTTTTCTCAAGATTGCTTACCTTGCAACAGAGCAGTTATAACTCATTTTGGTCACAGAAGTTGAATTGTGCATAGATTTGCACCACCCTCATTCAGTTGGATGCTACCCATTCCCATATGACCCCATATATGAGGAAAAAAATGTATTTCTTTACCTTTGGATGTGCACTATGTCCACACAGCTAAGTTAGGGTATGTACTATTTCCCCCTCATCCTATACCATCAAAAGAAGTCCTGTATTACCTTTTCAAAGATCCACAAAATAAATATTTTTCTAGGTTTCCACCCCCCACTGCTGCCAAATAATAATTATAATATTAATAATAAACCACAGAGTTCTTAAATGGTAACAGAGAAAAAATGGTTCCGGTTGCAATTCTTGGGGAAAAATAAAAAATATTATAAACAAAACAAAAACCAGAATCACTGTACTTTCTATAAATAAGTGGGTCCTGGGAGTGGGACTGGGTGCCAGTGGCGCCCACTACTTGCACACGAACTGGTCCACGATCTCTGTGCACTTCTTGCACTTGACATAGCAGCACCAGTGGAACTTGCAATGGCAGCGTTCGGTCTGCACGGTCTTGAACTGGTCGTAGCCGCGGCCACAGCACATGAGCTCGCAGCCGTCCATGCCCTCCGACGTCTTGTTGCACAGGCGGCCCTGTGTGCCCAGCGAGCCTGTGCTCTCGTTGCGCACGCAGTAGTCAGGGCTGGGGTCGATGTAAACCAGATCCTGTGTGGTGGGTGAGTTGAAGCGGCTATTCACTTGCACCAGCTTGCCCCGGCTGTTGAGCCGCATGGCCGCCGCGCTGTCATACTTCTCCTTCAGGGCGTCACCCACCTTGCGGAAGTCCGCCAGCTGCAGCCAGCATGTCTTGAGGCTACACGAGCCGGACACCCCGTGGCACTTGCAGGCCACGTCAGCCAGGTTGTACACCGTCTGCAGGAAACGGGAACATTTGGTGAACAAACTCATAGAGGAGACAGACACAGGCCCAGGCTATGTTAACAAAGCTCTCCCAGACCTTATCCATGCGGCCCTGCATGGAGATGAGTGAGGGGAGGGGACGTTTTCCCTTCAGCCTCCACTCCCTGAAGTCATGAACTGCCTTCTTTAAGAACACCTCCAGCCGGGCTAGGTGGCTCAGCCTGTAATCCCGCACTTTGGTAGGCTGAGGTGAGTGGATTACCCGAGCCTGCGTGTTCAAGACCCACCTGAGCAACTTGGCAAGACCTCATCTCTACAGTAAATCAAAAAATTAGCTGGGCGTGGTAGTGCGTGCCTGTAGTTCCAGCTACTGGAAGGCTGAGGCAGAAGGATCGCAGGAACCCAGCAAGTCGAGGTTGCGGTGGCCAGGAGCAGCCATTGCACTCCAGTCTGGGTGACAGAGTGAGACTCCAACTCAAAAAAAAAAAAAGAAAAAAAGAACACCTCCAAATAAATATGTTCTTAGCTTCTCGTTACTACATCTTATCAATGAGAACCAGAGTTTTTAAATGGGAACAGGAAAATAAATAGTTATAGTTGCTTTTTTTTATCAGGTAACCATTAGCAGCATCATGTGAACATTCCCAGAGGTTGTTCCCAGAGCATTACCTGAATTAATCCCCACAGACACCTATGAGGAAAGTGTTATCATCATCCCATTTCACAGAGAAGCAAAGTGAGGCCCAGAGAGATAAGCTACTCACCTAGCCACTGGGAAGCAAGTAGGTGCCAGAATTTGAACCCAGGCAGTTTTACTCCAAGCCCATATGGGCTGACTTGCCCATGGACACCCAGCTGGTAAGCATGGAGTTGGGAAGGAGTTTAGTTCCAGAAGAATCAGCGTTCAAATCTTTACCCACTACTACTATCACTGCTGTGTGCCAGGCACTGTCATAAGAATCCTTGCACTCTTGGTCTCATTTGATCATAATAGCAACAAGATAGTATGAACTGGATTAGACGATGGGACAGGAACACCGACAGTGGCCCGCACAGGTCACATAGCTAGAATGTGAAGTGCCTGGGCCTGGATCTCAGGTATCCTCACTCCTGCTTTCCGCACAGTCCCTACACTGTCTACCCCCAACCCAGGCCAAGATAACCCACCCTGGAACCAGACAACATGGATTCTGTTCCCAACTCTGCCCTTGGACTTAGGCAACTCACTGTACCTTTCTGAGCCTCTGTTTTCCATCTGTAAGATTGACTGTGATGGTACCAACCCCCCAGCACTGTTATAAGGATAAAATCAGGAGCGACATGGAAAGCACTTGGCACACAGGACACAGTCAATCTGGCCTTTCTCCAGGGTGACAAGGGCATGGTGCCTGGGCCCTAGCCCAGCCTCGGGCCGCCCAGGAGCAGTGCCCCACACCACTGTGCCTAGCAGTCTGGGAGGTGGTGGTTGCCTATTTATAGTCCCTACTGCCCACGGTTACTTATGCCAATGACCTTCCAGATTCTGCGTGGTATGAGCATGCTGGAGAGGGCCTGTCAGGAAGCTGGAAGCTGGGGGCATTAGAAGACCTATCTGCTCAGAACAGTTACCTCCTTCCTCCAGGGACTCATAAGAGGCTCCCCTTCAAAAGGGGCCAAAAGGTACTTTCTTGGCATCAAGCGTTTCAGGCATTCAGCTAGTCTGAGGAAGGGTTTTGCAAACATATTTAACCTTTGCTCCTCTTTGAGGAAAATTAAAAAGCTAATGCCCCAAGGACATTCTAATAGGATTTCCTGGCATGTACTCAACTTTCCACCCCCTGTGCCCCCCATCCTAGAGAAAAACTGTCTTCCATGTAACTGAACTCACCAAAGTCGGCCCACTACTTCAATGATCAAATTTATCCCCCCCCATCTCTCTCTCTCTCTCTCTCTCTCTCTCTCTCTCTCTTTCTCCTTAGTTGCTAAGTCCCTGATAATTTCTCAATATGAGAGAAGCCCCAAAAAAGTCCCAGGAATGGATGACAGGACACACCCCAGGAAAGAGCCCAGGAGAGTCAGCCACATCTCTGTCCTGGAGGCCTGAGATGTTAGGCACACCGTATGCGCAGAGCCAAGTGATACGTCCCTGATAAGGGTTTGTGGGCTTCCAAAGATCATGCAGCTGACCCCTGTCACGTGGCCCTGGGTCGACCACAAGAGAGAGAGCTGACCCACACTGCAGGTACAGCACACTGCAGGCATGGCAATAAGAGGCCTGAGAAAGGAGTGGCCACCCTCCCTCTGGAGCAATTATCTGACCCCTCAGGGCAGCACAGGCAAAATTCTGCAGAGTGTAGTCCTACCCCAATATCCCAAAGTGCTTAACCTCAAATGTGAGAAGATGATAAGTTAGCTGGAATTATCTGTCCGGAAAATCCTTGATTTCTCTATGTCCTGGCCTTATAATGTTTAGCAGTTACCATTATTCATCAAGCATTTACTACTAGCCAACACTAAACTAAGACCTTAGACCCGACCAAATGAAATCGTTATTTCATAGGTCAAAGAGAGTCAAGTATTGGCAAATTCATGTGGTTCAATCTACTATATCATCTCACTTTGCACTCACAATAACCCCCAGCAGGAGTTACTGCCGTGGCCACTTAACAGACATGGAAATGTGGAAACTGAGGCTCAGAAATAGACTAGAACAGAGAGCACTGGATTTTAACCTAGATTTCTCTAATTATGAAACTTTTAACTTTTCACCCCAAGTTGTGCTTCATGAATTTAATAAAGACACGCCTAGGCTTATATTTCAATCCATTAACTTTCTCCCATCATCCTAAAAGATTGCTCTAGCCCTCAGTTTCTCAATCTTTAAAATGAGGGTGTGGGAACAGAGGGTTCTGTTCCAAGGCTTCTTCCAGTCTTCTATAGTTTACTCTGTGATTATCTTCCTTCGTCCTCACCCCAAAATACAGGAGTGAAATCTCTGACCAGAAAGTTCCTGGCACCTACATTGGGTTTTGTGAAAAAATAATGGCCCTGGTTTTCAATGCTGCCAAAGTTAAGATAAGTTTTCACCCCTTCATTTTAAAGCAGCCATAAAGTGCCATGTGTTTAACCGCAGGAAAAAGGGGTCTTTTTAACTATTGAGAAGTAGCTTTCCATATCCCCACCAGGGGAAGGAAAGCACGGGAACCAGAAGACTTATAAGGGCTACATAGACATCCTCTTGGGTCACTTCTGCTTTCCTCCAGAGCACCCCGAGACTGGCCTGGTGGTCAGGCCTACGGAAGTCCACACTTCTGAAAAATGTTGTCGCTTCCTAGAAAAGCCCTTTTTCAGACGTCACAATCCATCAGGCCTGCTATCTAATGACATAAAGTGGGGCAAGGAGAAAGTAAAGAGGAAAAAAGAGAAGACCTGAAAGCTGGGGTGAGGGCCTTTTCAGCTGAGCACCACTAGGACAAATAACTCACTCTCCCCAATGGAAACTCAACTACACACATGTTCCAGGGACCAAGGAGAAAGTTACTAACATTTGAATTTTCGAGCCAATGTCACTGGGGACTATTCTCAGACAACTGCTGGAGCACCTTGGTTGGGGGTCCGGGGAAGGACGGAGGGGATGATTCACCCCCCGGGGGGCTGAGTTGTGCACCCCTCTCCAGAGAGGCCGGCGGGTAGGCGGTACTAGTCGAAAGAAAGAAATGGGGGAGAGAGACGAACAAGGAGAGAGAAGAGAGAGATGGGAGGAGGAAGGAAAAAGAAGAGAGAGAGAAATAGAGTGCGGGGGGTGGGGGAGACAACGGGGATACGGAAAGAGGCAGAGATACATACAGAGAGACAGGACCCTACAGAAAGGGGGAGGCAGAGAAGGGGATAGAGGGAGGGGCACGAGGAGGCTGCAGGGCAAAGCTAGGGGCAAGGCAAGGGGCGGGGACACTCACCCTGCGGCCAGCCTCGTTGTTGTGCAGGTTCATGAGAATGCGCGCGCTCTCGTACGAGCCCTTGGCGTGGATGCGCTCCCGCTCGCGCGCGTCCACGAACTCCTTGGCGAAGCGGTAGCCATAGTCAATGTTGTCGCCGCAGCCGCCCCACAGCCAGTCGCGAGGCAGGTCCTTGGGGCGCGCAGCGCGACTGCAGCCGCAGGTGGACAGCTCGCCCTCGCGGCACGCCCGGCTCATGGCGTTCACCACCCCCGCGGCGCTCACCGCATACGTGAAGGCCGTCTCGCGGCTGCCTGCGGGGAGGACAAGGGTCACTGCCAGTCACCCATCAGGCGCCTGCCTGGGGTGCAGGCATAGCCAAACCTCGAGAACAAAGAGGGCCCCATCCCCCCACACACACCCAGGCCCTGGGCCCACCTGGAGGGGAAGCCAAGAGAGACCTCCCCAGCAAACACACAGAAGCAACAACTAACTAACAAAGGAGCAGCAGATCCGCGGTAACTCTACTCTGATGTTTCAGAACCTAAGGCAGGATTCTAAGCAGTGCTGGATTGATTTTCACGCAACTCTTTTGAAAATAGTCAAAACTTCATATTTCCAAAAATGCACGTGAAAGAAGTCATTGAAGGAAAACTCAGAGTTTGGGTAGACTCCCTTACACTTATTTTAATGTTCAGTATTATTTTCATCTGAGTTACACACAGGGCAGGAGCACAGAATTTGCTGGGCTTAGAACCCCTGAAAGTCATAGGCCCAGAATGGAAGCCAGACATTGCCAGCCGCAGCACTCCTGTTCTGCCTCGCCACCCCCCGCCCCCTACTCCTTGACAGTTGTAACCTCTCCTCCCTCTTCCTTCGTGCAGCACAAAGTCTGTCTCAGGACAAGGTTGTTTACTTTCCCGGAGGACAATTCTGCACCAGCTCATAGAGAAGTATAAATGAACTTGCCTCTCCTGAAATCCCAAGCTGACTGGCCCAATACTTCTCATTCAAGAATATGACTGTCTACTTTTAAAACAGCCTGCTGTTCTTCAACGCTACTTCTGCAACTGCCCCAGTCTCTCACCCCTCCCTAGAACCTTTGCCTCAAAGTGTTAGAATGACAGCAAAAAGGAAAAAAGCACAGCCTAGGAGAAAGGGGAAAAACAAGTTTTAGTTTTCCTCGAAACTTGTAAAGAGTATCTCCCTGTAAAACAGTTATAGGAACCCTATTTGTAAGGAGAAAGTGGAGGCCATCATAGACTACCCCAAACTCCACTTGTACAGGCAGACAATTCTACATGGACCAAAAGCCATTTAATAAAATGTTGTACTGTGAGAGAGAAGGGCCAATATCCAGCCAGCTGAAGCTGGACAAGGGTAGGCAAGGAGGGCCTCACTTCCCTCAACTGGAAAATAAGGGTATTGAGCTAGATGCCTAGGAATAAAAAAAGGCCCTTTCTGGTGCTGAAGTCCCAGAATCAGTTTCTCCTATACTTTGAAAGCTTGCTAACAGTCTTTTTGGGGGGGCAAATAGAGGAGTACAAGAACAGAGGACAATAGGACTGGGTCCCAACCGGAAGGCCTATTCTGCAGGAGAATGGCTATGCCAATTCAAGCCTCCAGTCTCCAGTAGGCCGCCCCATTCTCAGACATCCGCTCCACACTCCAGTTGCAGCCCTCTGTAGTACCCCCTTCTAGGGATGGCGATGGTTCCTATTTACCATAGACCCTCCCCCCTCATATTTTAAAAATCAATAACTTGAGGGGTGTGCTGGTGATTGGCAAGAGGATCCAGAAAGTTCCTGGGTGTATTGCGTCTAGCTAGCTCAAATTAGAGAAGGCAGACAATGTCGGGGGAGTGGAAAGGAATGAAGAGAACATACAGCTTGGAGGGAGTTATGTGAGGATTAACACTGATAATACAGAAAATGCTGTGGCCCTGGATGGGAGACGTGTAGAATACAGAGGGAGTAGCTGGAGGAAGTAGAGATAAAACGGCCCTCTGGGGATAGAGGAAAAACGAGACTGCCCTCTGAGTAGACAAAGCATATGAGAGCTTTTATACAAAACACAAACAATGCTGCCTTTTTCCCAAGTCTATCTTGAGCATTTCCTTTTCTGTCTCAGAATACAAAACCTGGTAGAACTCTCCAAGCTAATTGGTCACTGCAGGAAAAGTGTCAGTTTGAAAAGTATTTTTTGGTGAATAGCCTGAGGGTACAGTCATCCTGATTGGAATATTGCTGATTCAGCTAGGTTTCCCTCTGTTGTGAAATCTGCATCTACTTGGATCCTCACACTCCTTAAAAAGGGTGCCTTCCTTACATATGTATCTTTTCACAGCATGGAAACAAAGAAGAGACAGATGGGACAAAAGCTGGAAGGAAAGGGTAGCATGATGAAAAATGAGAAAGTTTCTAAAATGAAGCGTTGGCCCTTCACAAGTCAATTGTGCATGGTGCCTCCCAGGCAACTGGCATCTTAGAAAAATGAGTGGAGGAGGGGGTCGGAGGTGGCAGCCGGAGTTTCTCAGACAGGGGCCCCATCACAGGGTCAGATTCTCACAGACAAGAATTACTCTTGATATCCTCGGTGCACTAAGAGCTTTGGGGTGGGCATGCACACACCTTTTGGCATCAAAGGTGTTTTGACTTTTCCCTTAGCTCATTCTCATCAAACATACCCTTAAGTGGAAAAGCGAAAGCAGAGTTAATTTCCCACCACTGGAGTTGGGTCCATGTTCCCCTTCCATAAAAACTGACTTTGTTCTTTCCTTCTCTCCATCTCTTTCTTAAATAAGTAAACAAGAGAAGGCCCCATCAGCATCCCACCACAAGCCACAAGACAGCAGCTTTCTGTTCTTAGACTCTAGGCACTTGGGGGGCCTTTGGCAGGGAATGAAGCATGTGCCTTCACCTTCCCAGGACATCAGCTGACTTGATGACAGTATCTAGGAAGACTCCCTCCAAAGCTGTCAGGAAGTACTACTCCCACCCACTTCCCTCAACCCAGACAGTAGTACCACATAGCTAAGGCCCAGAGAGTGTACTTTCCAGAGACAATTAAACATAGGCCTCTGTACCAAAAGTCCAGCTTATTCCTTGAGAAAGCAGACTCTTTGAATCTTGGACTGCATTTACACCTAATCTCCAGCAGAATTCAAATTCACATTAGCAAATGATAGCTGACTCCAAACATTTTGGCCCAAAACAGGCTACGCATGAAGACAAGAGGAAGATCTTCAATCAAAACTGTGTTCTTGTGACTACACAGAAAAGTGGTTCCAACTGCTCTTTTCCTTCCTGGTTGCCATCTGAGGTGTATGAATTTTGCCAATTCATATATATGTGAAAAAGAGGTCCCACAGCTGAGAGGAAGGCAGGTTAGGAGGAACATACTAAGAGAGGAAAGCTGACAACTTACCATTCTGATATAGTTTTTAAAAAGATTTTTGTTCAATCACAATATCAAAATGCAGGAGAGTTAAGTCTCTACCACAACCCCAGTAAACTACATGAGGCAGCCCACATTCAGGGAAAACTTCTGTGTTCCCGAGGCTTAATTCCTCGATTTGGATCCCAGTATATACATTAGCACATTTTAATCATTAACAGAAAGGACAAAGCCCTATGAGACTTTGCAGGCTGAGGCTACAGGCCATTTTCCCACTCAGTCAGAGGAAAGGCTTCCAGTCTTGTATTATTTTAGTTTATGAAACCGCTTGGCTCAAACATCTACTGACAACTCTTTTTTGTTCTCAATGAATGCAATTTTCAGGGGTTTTTGTAAAAAGCATTTTATCCATCTGTGATGGATATTAAGCCAACTTTTTATCTTCTGTCAGTAGAAAGAGTTAATTGCTTTGATAAATTGCTTCTTATTTTAGTAGTCACCACAGCCATATTAATTATAAGGGCTTGTTTGCATAAAAGTAAAGAAACCTAAAATATTCACACCAGAAAACACACATGGGATCACATCTGTCAAATCGTATCCTATACTATTTAAGCCAAACTAGAGGCAAACAGATTTTTCAAAAACTTTGCCTTTATCTCAGTTTAAATGCCATCTCCTCCTTGATTGGAATAACACATTTAATAACATACTTAAAAATTAAGACTCAGACTGAGAGCAACAGGGATAAAATATTTTTCAAGTTTCTAGGTTGAGATCCTAAACTGTGCTTTTACGTCAACTACCAAAATCACAATGTAAACTGGATCATTTTTAATTAAAATTCTTTCTGGGACTAAAGAATAAAGCTTTTAACATACATATCTTTATAGCCTCAGGAAATATCTATATTAGGAAAATTAAAACCTTGTTCACTTTCAATATATCCAGCATTCTGATAGATGACAATTTATAGTTTGATACTTGGACCATTCGAATTGTGGCTGAAGAAACTTCTGAAGTCAAAAGAGTTTTGAAGTTTAAAAGGATATAAATGCCTCTGCTTCCCCCATGTGCTTTTGAGAAACCAAAATAAGTGTTTCACTTCTATTTTAAACAAAATACTTTCTAGAAAAAGTAGGTGTTCAGAAAAATAAAGGTGTGTGTGACACTCCCCTCTTGGTTTAGTTACAGAAGTCCAAAACTTATAATCTGGTGGGGGAGGGAAGGCGGGTGGGCAAAAATTAACACCAGTTGCCATAATGACAAAAATGCCAAAGCCATCACCCAAACTGGAAGGTATCTTCCTCATCAAGCATGTAAGTAAACACGCAGGGTGTTTTCTTGGGAAAAAGTTAATATGATTTGAAAATATGTTAAATTGTTTCCTACCTATCTGCATAACCCTGCCAAAAACAGAGGTGTTATCCACGGTGCTGCAGTTCCATCTTCGATGTCGGAATTGATACTGGCACTCTTTGATGCCTGTCTTCGCACCTTCTCCGATGTATTGCATGTGGTCCTGATACAAGTGGCACAGTTTCTTCTGTCCTTGAGAAAGTCCTGCCAGTTGGCTGCAGAGAGGCTGCGCTCCTATGATATATACTTCTGACATCTGAACAGGGTTATTCATACCTAGCGACCTGCAAGGGGCGGGAGGAGATGTGCATTCAAGATTTACATGAACTCTAGAGGTGGGCCCCCTGCAAGCATGTCGGTAATACATAGTTTTAAGCACACAGATGCTTTTTCTCTCCCGTTTGTCTTCACGACAAAGTAGGAGAAGGGCTTCATAGTACTCCTCTGTTTAAACTCTACTCAGAAAACGGAGGTATTGTGTAGTCCCCATGCAGCCATCTGGCTCCTCAGTTAACATTTTCATTCCCTTCCTTGCCCCTGTTGCTATATACCTGAACCAATATTTCCGAAATCCACTCAGGAAAAGGGGAAACAGTGGTTTGGGGGACGGGCCTCTGACATGAGAGAAAATGACTCACTTTGCCCCACAAATTGGACCGATCTGCCTTGAAAACATAGGAGTGCCAAAAGTAGACACAATTAGACACGGGTAGGAGATAGCAGTTCCCTTTGACTGATGGAAGAACAGAGGAACAAGTATACAGACTGAAGAAAATTCACCACATTTCTGAGCATTTTAAAAGGGCTCCTTATGTGATTGTGAAGAACCCAAAACAGGGTATCCAGTGAACAGAAGTCATGTTTGACAGTCAGAAAAATGTTGTTCATTTACAGGGGAAAAAGATCCAGAACGCCGTCAAAAATAATCCTCTGGATACATTGCAGTCTATCTACAAGGCCCCTACCAGAAAGAAACTCCCATTTAGGGATATTTGACTACTTATTTTTTTTTATCAAATTTTTTTTGATCAAATTTCAGGCCCAAATACTTCCCCACTTGGAGTTTAGCTGTCCTCCCAGAACTCTGCCTACTTCAGACTCTGTAGGTTAATAATCTCGAGTGACAGAAAATAAAAGTCGAAACTCACTTTTATTACCTAGAGGTGGCAAAAAAGTAAATTTTATAGATAGGCTTACAATTACTAGAGAAGTGAATTTCTGTTCCCTTTTATTACATGATGTACTACAAGCACACATCTGAACAAGGGCCTCATAGAAAAAGGCCTAGATTTATAGACTCTCATTCCCTATGGAGCTGAAGATAAGCTTTACAATATCAGCAAGTTAAAAGAAAACTCTGATTTAAAATATACATATAAGTAAAATACATTACATACAAATGTATTAGATACTTATATCCACACTCATTATTCAGGTTTAAATATTATAGCATCATACAAACGAATCTTTAAAAAAAAGAGCATAGAACAGAATAGGCACATAGAATGAACTTACCACCAAGAATTGGCCTCTATTACAACCTGGGCGAACGAGAAAAATATGGCCAAAGCCATTAGGAAGAACTTGGAAGACATTGCACTTCCAGCCGTCCCCAAAGCAACTCCTGGGCTTAATAGTCCAATCGACTTCTGGAGAGGGAAGAAAGGAGCAGATGTTTATTGCCTCTCAGATAATTTTCAGGCGTACAAGTTTAAACAACGGAAGCATCCGGGGTCTCTTAAGTTTACTGTTGATTGACTGCACTTCTCCGTGAGTTTTTTGATGGCAAGATATAGGCAGTTTCTTTTTCCAAATTAATCCACCCACGCAACCTCACCAGGAAATCTGATTTCGCTGGGATCCTGTGCGCGGGGCACGCCAGCGATTACAAACATGGCTCAATTCTGAGGAGTCAAAACCCCGGTGCCAGGCGCTGCCTCCTTCCTGCTTGCTCCAGTCCCGCACCGCACCCCCTCGCTCCCCTCTCGTTCGCGCTGTGCTCGTCCCTCCGAGGTAGTCACTCGGGAACCCGCCGCCACCCTCGTCCTCTCCCCGACCTGGGCCGAGCAACAAGTGGAGCCAGAATTAGCTCCATGGGCTAGAGGAGCGCGAAGGCGAGTGGAGCGGCCGCCCGCGCTGCGGAGGAGGCGGGGTGGCCAGCGCGGGGGTGGAGGGTGGGGGCAGGACGCGGGAGGGAAGGGCAGGGGGTGGGGGGCGAGGCCCCGGGGACCAGCGCGCACGAGAGTGCCCAGCTGGGAAATGAAACCCCTCTGAATTAACATCGTATGTTTCATAATCAGTTTACGGGCCGATTTGGGGAAAGCCACTTCCAGATGGGGAAGAGCAGCCCGGATTTCCTCTAGGACGCTCTTCAGCCAGATTGGGGCGGAGAGAAAGAGCTGGGGGGCCTAGGCGAGATGGAGAGAGAGGTCTGTTCTCCCAAGGAAACCGGAAAGGACCCCCCCCCCCCCCACCCCACCCCCTTGCCTGCGTCCTCTTCCTCGGACTGGAGAAGGGACAGGGAAAGAAGGGAAGTCCCGCCGGCTCGGGAGAAGATTCCTCGCCTGCTCTCCTCACAACTTTCTCCCAAGTTCTGATTTTTCACTCTCCCCTCCACCCCCAGTGACAGCTGCCGCAGAGGGAGGAGACGGGAAGCCAAAGGGGACTCTGGTGTCCCTCTGTCCTGATCCGGGGTTGCGCGCCACTTCGCCATCGCGGCACTGCCAGCCCGGCTTTGGAGCAGTGCCACCCCGCCCCAGCCTAGCCTCTCCAGCCCGACTCAGACTCGGTCAGTCCTGAAAGGTGGGGGTGCCGGTCGAGGCCCGGGCCGTGGCGGATGAGTCCGGGCGGGGCCAGAGATGCGCTGGCTCCGGAGCCACAGCAGGGCCCCTGGATCCCAGGGCGCAGGGGCGCTGGCGGCGAAGGTCCCCTTCCTGAAGAATTTCGGGGGCAGGAGTTGGCCTTGGAAGCTTCCGCTGCCGTTCCTCCCCACTGGTGACTTCTCCACCTGCAGGCGGCGGCGGGTGCGGGTGGGAGGAGCGGGTTTCCAAAAAATCCCCTTTCACATCTCTGATAAGTGTAACCCTGCCACGCTATGCCGCCCGCAGCCCCCGAGGGCGACCCCTCCTCGGAAAAGGAAATAAAGGTGCCTCTCCTCCAGGAGAGGGACGAACCCGGCCCGGAACTTGCGCCGTAAAAGGAACAGAGGGGACCCAGGCAGCCGTGGACGTGGAAACGCGAAGGGGCTCAGGAGCGTGTCACGGCTTTCCCCTGCGAGCCGCCCCTTTGGCCCGGACACTTCGGGGCTTCTCGGAGAGGAAATGCTTATGTGGTCCCAGCGCCCGCTAGCCAGGGCTCCGCGCCCGCGGGCCAGCGGTCTCCAAAGCGCCGCAAAGCTGGGGGCGCATCCCAGAGAATGGAAATCTGGGGTTTCCCCAGCCTAGGAGAGGGAAGGCTCCGGCTCTCCCCACCCCCGCCCGAAGTGTCAAGTTTCCTCCAGGGGAGGGGGTGGGCTTCGAGGTCTGTCTTCGCGCGCAGCCCAGGCTGCAAAGTCGACTCTCCCCAGCGGTGGCTAATGCCGCGCGCGCATTCGTACACACTCACGCCCGTGCATTTACACACTCACACGCGTGCACAGACACACGCGCTCCGCCGCGCTTCCGAGTCGGAGGCCCAGGTCGCGCCAGCCGAGCGCACTTCCCGAGCTTCGCGGCGGGCGGGGCGCGCGGGGCGGAGCTCCGGCAGCGGAGAAATTGATAACAGATTCGGCGGATTACAGCGGATCTCTTTGTTAGAGCCGAAGCCACACAAACCGAACTCACTCCCGGCCCGACGCCCCCAAGGAGAGTCCACCAGTTCCCAGAGCCCGGGCCAAAAGGGAGTGGGGTCATCCGGTCTCCGCGACTCGGGTCTCCCTGGCTCCCGGGTAGAGGTAGGCGGGGGGGCGGGGGGAGTCCCAAAGGGGATCCGACAGGAGGGCCCCGCGAGTCGAGTCTCCACTTAACCCTGCGCACTTGCCCGGAAACACCTTGGCCCTCTTCCCGCTCCAAACCCGGTGCAACCCCGAAAAGGCCCCACAAGTCTGAGAGACTCAAGGAACCCACAGCGAACTCACTCATAAATACACGGACTCTGTAGGGTAAAACATCCCCGCCTGTTTACCAAGAGATCTGATCCGAAAAGAGTATGAAAAGAGACCTCTCGGGAGACTGTCACACCAGGAGTAAAATAAAAGTTCTGGTCCGAAGTTGAGTTTCCCAATGAAAGTGCTAAACGTTTTCCAACACGTACGGGGCCCGGGGAAGCTCAGCAAGGACCCTGAGGATCTGTTTTTCGCGTGCTTCGGGGAGGAGGGCTGGGGGCATTTGAGAGGTCCTGCGCAGAGGAGGGGGCAGGTGGGGGGGGCGTTCGTGCGCCCCGGTTTTCAATTTAGAGCAGCTCGAGGACGTGGTTCTCTCTCTCTCTCTCTCTCTCTCTCCCTCTCTCTCTCCCCCCAAAGCCTACGTCTGAAGGTTGTCCTAATTCTTCACCAGCTGCGGCGGGGCCGGGGATGATGAGGGCTAAGAAAAAGGGACCCCCACGAGAAAATCCGTTCAGAGGACGTCCGGGGGGCCACGGAGAGAGCCGAGACGGGCACGCACACCCGTGCAGCACTCAAGTCCTCGTCGGCGAGCGGCCCCTTAAGTGAAAAGAGGGGGGGCCCCGGCGGAGATCCCGGAGCCTCGGCCACTGGCGCTGCCTCCCTCCGTCCAGGCATCTGCTTCCGCCAGACTCAGCGTCCAGGGCCCCAGGCCCTGGTAGTGGAAAGGATGAGGGGACGCCAACTAGGCAGAAGAAGCGCGTTTGACCCAGGCTGGTGGCGGCCAAAAGGCGGATGGGCAACTCCAAGAGGGAAGAACCTCCCCCCTCGACAGAAAACAAACTGTCGTCTCCTACGCGGTCTCCCCCCAAAGCAAGGAAAGCTATGGAAAAACTAGCTGGAGAACAACCCACTTGCAGCCACAACCTTGGGACGTCCCGTCCCGGGGAACGCGGAGAACAGCGGGAGGAGGCGCAGAATTGGCCGGCGCCGGCCGGTGGGAGGTCCGCTTTGGGGTAGCAGACAAAGGAGCCATTGCTCCCCACTCCTCGCGCCTGGGCGCAAGGGAGCCGCGGCTGCTGCGCCGCGAGTGTGTCACAGGGCCGTGTGTGTCCGCGCGCGTGAAGTGGGGCCAGGGCGGACGCGACAGAGACGGCGGCGGCGGCGGCTTGAGCTGGAGTCCGTGCAAGGACTGGAGCAACCTCCGACCGCCCTGGCCTCAGGACCGACGGCAGGTTCGGTAACAGCGGCTCCAGGGAAGGAAAGGTCTGGCCTGCTTCTCGGCTGTTTCCTGGCCACCCCTAGACAGGGATCTCCCAGACCCCAACACACACGCACACATCACTTACACCTCTGACACAGGATGTCTCACTCTCGGCACAGGCTCAACTTTGTCCAGAGGTGGAGCAGTGTCCGCGGATGGAGAAAAGAACATCATAGTCCAACCCCCCTCCCAACTCTTTCATTTCGCCCCCCACTTTCTAATAGGCGAAGAAACTGAGGCAGAGAGAGGGAAAGCAACACTTGCCCTCCACCACAGAGAGAACTGGTGAGACCCCCGAGGCCAGACCCGAGGCCTCCCGGGGCGACACTCTCTCCTTGCTACGCCCAGAAGCGGTACCGACCCTGCGTCCAGTTGGCTGAGCCCCATTTGCTGGGTCGGGCCCGTGGCCCCCTCCGTATTGCAGCGGCGGCGCAGCGACGCGGGTACTCCGGGGGCCTCCGAGGGGCCCTGCTGGGAGCGTGGGGCCTGGTGGTCGGGAGGGATGAACGGAGCAGAGGTGGGAGGGAGAGGGGAGCAGCTGCCGGCCCGCCCCAAGGAGCCGAGACTCGGAGGCGTCCTACCTCAAGGCGGCCGACAGGGGGCAGCCGGCACCGCACCGCGGGGAAGAAAGGCCGCGGGGACGGCTCCGAGTCCTGCGCGCACGGCGCTAACCCCTTGTGCACCGGAGCGCTCGGGGGGAGGGGAGGAGAAGACAAGGGACTCTTGGGCCAGGCCTCCTGGGGAGGGTCTTCCGTGGAGGAGGCTGAGGAAGGGTGGGGAGAGAACGAAGTCTAATACGTCTAGGACGCGAGAGCAACGGATCCTTACTCTCTGCACACACACCCACGCCCGCGTGCGCACACGCAGGGCGAGGATCCACACTCGAGCACACACCACCTTCGCCGCCCTCAGTTCGCTGGCTGCGCGCTTTCGGCAATGCCGCTCGAAACTCCCCTCGCCGAGGCAGTCTAGAAGCTCCACCTCGGCATCTGGCTGGTTCCGCAGTGAACGTGCGAGTGCAGGCGGGAGGGCAGAGGCTGGAGAGGTGCGATCCCCCCGCAGGGCCCGAGTTACTTCCAAACAGCGAGCTGTCCATTTAAATAGAGACCGGAGAGACGGGGGGGCCCCCGATGCCAGACAGGGATTAGAAAGTAAAACAGGGCCGCGGGGTCTCCAGATTTGGGATTTTTTTTAAAAAAACCTTTTGGGGGGGGAAGGGGAATTGTCTCCTTTCAGAAAACATCTTAATTCCAATTCTAGACTTATTCTCTAGGAAACTGAAAATGGGGAAGACCAAGAAAAATGGAAACAAGGATCGAGGCTTGGTCGATAGATAAGAACAGTTTTTGGAAAATAGCAAGTTACATGGCAGGAAGAAACGTTAACTTTTCGTAAAAGTGAACTCTCAGTGACCCTCGGAGTGTGTGACTCGGCTTTAACACACAACTGACAATTAAAACAAACACGAGTTCACAAACTGGCCCCCGCCCGCTCTCCCAGCGCGGAGGCCCAAGTGTTTCTAAAAGACCAGGCAGTCAGTCTCCGCTTGGGGGCTTGGGAGCGCTCTCCCCGCGGACGAGATTAGAGCCACCACCACCACTACTCCCCGCCCCCACCACCGCTCAAAGTGCCTGAATTCACCCAGTGGCGGCTAATAATGCGACCCTGCTCCCCGCGACAGGGTGCGCGCCGGCCCCCCTCCAGACCCTCTTAAAGGTACAGGGGTCTGCAGCGCTTCGGTTACCCGGCCAGGACAGGCCTGCAACCTGGCCTCAGCC